TTCCCAAGTAGGCATCTACGCAGACGACATTATTATTTACTCCTGCCTCAATAGTAAATCTGGTATCGTTAACAAAACTAAACTGGTCTCGAAAAGGACCTCCAATCTGTGGTTGATTGAGGGCAGGAAATGACTTGTAAACTTTAATGCCTCCAAAACGAAACTGCTCTCATTTACCCACCACAGAGTCGTCTCCCTGTCTTCCACCAGAATGACTGGTGCCCAACTCCACGAGAACGTCTCTCTGCGTCTGCTTGGTCTCACGCTGTCCGCTAACCTGAGGTGGAACAAGCACATTGAATCAATAGCTTCCTCTACCGTAAGGAAAGTTGGTTGTCTGTGTCGCGCCAGAAACATTTAATCGCCTGAATCCATCCTTCAAATGTATAAATCAACCATTCCAACTTTTATGGAATATTGCTGCCATATATGGTCTGGAGCCCACCGTTGTTCGTCTCGGGGTCCTCGACAGAATCCAGAAACGTATATGCAATCTGATAGGTTCTGATCTGGCATCTCGTTTACAGTCACTTTCTCACAGACGTGCCGTTGCTTTCCTCTGTCTTTTCTACATGTATTTTCACCGCAACTGCTTCGAAGAGCTACATTCGCTGGTTCCAAAACTGTATGTATTTAAACGCGCTACTAGGTTGGCATCTCGGTCCCTTTCACTGTCGAAACAGTTACATGTAATCGCCTCTTCTACTCCAACAAGCTTCTTCTCTCGCACTTCCCGACAGTGGAACTCTCTTCCTCTTACTTGCTTCCCTGATAGCTCCAATCTTCAAATATTTAGATGTAATGTCTATCGACATTTCCAGATGCCTTGATCTATTCCCTGTCCTTCTCTTCATCCTTTCCTCTATCACGCCTCATTACTCTTGCTCTCATTCTATGTAACCCCTTGCGTGCTAGTGGCCATCCCACCTTGCTTGGGGCGAAATGCTTTAAAAAAATGTTTTATTTTGTACATTTGGTAATTCTGAGCAAGGCTCGTCAACCATTCGATAATATTCTCGTTTTTAAATATCTAAAAACAGTTTCATCTATTCTTCTATTTGTATCTTTGTTTTTCTCAACACCTTTTCCGAAAAGTCTGGCGCCAAATCCGCTGTCGCCAAAACGTACCAAACCGTTTACTTCCAAACGATTAAATACCAAATAGTTCTATATGTTTAAATTATTTACTAGTTTCTTAAAGAAGCTATTTATCAAACACACACGCACGCACACACACAAACACACTCACACACGCACACACACACACACACACACACACACACACACATATATATATTAAGAAATGGACAAAGTCCGACAATTTATTTTATTAAAGACATTTTTATGTTTAACGTTCTTTTTTATAGATACAAGTATTTAAGTAAATGCTCTGTTTATAATAAACAGTATTAAATATATTAAATATTGTATCTATAAAAAAGAACGTTAAACATAAAAATGTCTTTAATAAAATAAATTATCGGACTTTGTCCATTTCTTAATATATGACGTCATTTGTTTACATTTCATACGCCAGAGCAGTTATGAATGTACGAGATTCATGGAAGATTGAAGTTTATAAGCAGTAAATTCGACCTTGCCTACCGAACGCTCCTTTGTGGCCGAGTGGTAAGGCACGTCAGCGTAAATGACGGTTCCGTATAGAATGCAGGTTCGAATCCTGTCAAAGGACGAATATTTTCTATGATATTTCTCGGACATTCAGGCCGGTAGATGTTATTTAATACTGTTTATTATAAACAGGGCATTTACTTAAATACTTGTATCTATAAAAAAGAACGTTAAACATAAAAATGTCTTTAATAAAAAAATATATATATATGAAATTTACAGAGCATATAACTTGTTTAGCATTTTGTTAAATTACCTCTCACCCCATTTTTATTTCTAAGGAAACTGCATTGTCTGCTTTGTATATTTTATGTAACCATTTTCATCGGCTATTGTTTATGTCTGGCTGTCGTTATCTGCTAATCTACGGGTCGTGACCCATTTATAGAAAATGATTTTTAATTTTTCCTTCTTCGCTTAGTTTAAATATAACGCAGCTCATATTTGATTGGTTGATCAGAGTAAAGCCCACAGAATTTATGACCTCACTTTTTTCCCCCTTTTTCGTAAAAAGAGGTTGTATTTCCCTTTTAAATCTAAATAAATCGTTCACTCGCCAGTAATTTACAATCGCTTGACGAGATGCATTGATACGCAAAGAAACACGACTGCAACTGTGTAACGATTTTGACATATTTTCGGTATAATATCCTAATATATATGTACACACAGATATATATATATATATATATATATATATATATATATATATATATATATATATATATATATATATATATATACAGTCAACCACGTGACTAGCTGGCCACTCGTATTCGAGTTTACGCGTTTACTCGGACGGCTAGCCAATCCCTACTGCAGAGCACCCACAGAGCCCACCTGTGGTTTATACTGCAACTATATATATATATGGTTACAGTTCTGTGCAAAAGTAAGTGAACCCCCTAAGACGTTATTATTATAAATTGTCTCTTTTTTTTCTAGATGATTAACAAATGTTAAACTACATATTCGTTCAGAAAAACCGTTATTAAATCAATTTGAACCACTTTCAAAAAATGTTATTAATGTGCAAAAGCAAGTGAATCTTTACATTTAATATTTGATGACTCCTTCTTTTGAGGTTACTATTGTGGATTCCGGGATTGGAATCCTGCACATATAAATAAACAACGCCAGTAATTGAGATAGAAAAATAAGTGTATTAAACGTAAGAATACAGACTTGAAGTGAAGATTAGTAGTCCAGGAATGCGGGTTAGTAGAAAGTATATGTACAAGTCTCTGTAAGTAAAGCCGTAATCATCTCTCTCTCTGGACTCTAAAATAACTCTTTGAGAACACCCTGTGTCTGTCTCCGTATTTCTCAACCTGTCTCATCGCATCTCAACGTATCTCCACGCATCTCAACGTATCTCAACAGCAGGTATTCACTCTGTCAGTATAAGTATACTTTAGACGAGTCCATCTTATATAAAAAGGGGAGAGCCCCACAACAGTTACAATGTCAACCAGTCTTTTTCTATTATTTTAAGAAGTTTTGGCAGGCGTGAATACCGATTTTTACCATTCTTCTTGGTAAAACTCTTACAACTGTTCGATTTTACCTAGATTTCTTGCATGTACTCCTTTCTTTCATTAGAATTACAGATTTTCAATTTGGGTTTAAATCAGGAGTATCAATAGGCTATTCCAAGTCTTGAAATTTCTTTTTACCAACGCATTCTTTTGTGGATTTGCTTTGATGCTTCAGATCATAGTCCTGTTGAAAGTTCCAATCCTGACCTGAAGACAAGACGTTTTCGTTCAAAATTACTTGGCATCTTGCAGAGTCTATTAGACCGTCAATGTGTACTATTTTGATTGTTCCAGCTGCAGAAAGTACCCCTAAATCCTATATTTTAGCAGATACCCTGTCCCTCAGTGAGAGATAAATTCATCTGCCCCTGCCGATCAGCGTATCTCCAGAACTTAAATTCGGAAATAAATGTATTTCTATAATTCTTTATCTTTTAGCTATTATTGTTTCTTTTTAAAATATTGAACAATTTGTTCCCAAACATCCCTCTGGCCTTTAAGTGCTTTAAACGCCATTAATTAACTGGACGACTTGTTTGCTGGGTTTAACGATATGCTAGAACTTTGAAATGCTACATGCATTAATTGCACTTTTCTTATTAATAACTGCATCATTTTTGTCTAGGAAAACTGATATCTGAGGGTTGAAATTGATGTAATTGAATAAACTGTCACCCCATGAATGACTACACTATTGGTAGTAACTGCCTATAAGTATCTGTAAGTCAACGGACTACAGAGCCTAGCTGCAATCTACTCCAGCTAAACAGTTGAACTCTCCGCCTTCGGACGGAGAGGAATCCGGATGAGAACTCTGCCGAGTCTCGTTCGGTGGGGTAGACTGTCCCTGAACCTGCTTATAAGGGTTCAAAAGGGAGCCTACGGGCTCGGACAACCCACGTTAAACCGGACTTGTGCCACATGCAACACTCGTGGTTGTGGTGGTGGGGGTAGCTAAATATTCTAGCTGCGACCTGTTCCAGCTAGCCAGTCTAACTCTCTGCCCGAAGGCAGAGATGAACCCGGGCGAAGCTCCGCCGGAGGGCAGTCTCTCGTTCGGGGAGGTAGACTGCCCCTGAACCCGTTTATGCCGGTTCAAAAAGGGGAATATTTTTGGCCAAGCCTACGGGCTTGGTGAAACCCCATTAAACCGACCTTTTGCCACATGCAACCCTCGTGGGGGTGTAGCTAAATATTCTACCTGCGATCTGTTACTCAGCTCTTTAGCTGCTGTCGAACCCTCTGCCCGAAGGCAGAGAGGAACCCGGACGAGTCTATGCCGAAGGGTAGAGTCTCGTCCGGTGAGGTAGAAAGACCCGAACCCGTTTATGGGGGTTTTTTGGAGAATTTTTGGCCGACCCTACGAGCTCGGATTGCCCCACATTAAATTCGGCCTTGTGCCAAATCCTAACCCGGGGGAGGTTGGTAAATGTTACTAGCTGGGATCTGTTGAGTTACGCAAGAACTACTGACCTTCCAATAGTAGCACTCATTTCTGGATTGATTTGCGACGACCTTGTGCATAACTTACATTTATTCTTATAGTACTGATTTTTTTTTTACAATAAACCATTACTTATTTTATGCACCTTGTTTTTCAAATACATATTCCTATTTGAACGGAATCTAACAGACAGAAAACTAAAAACATAACTCGTAGGGACTTCTCTTGAAAAAGAGGGCATTTGGTATATTCAACACTCTCGCTTCCGTTCCCAAATTCAACAGCCCTCTTTTGTACTGTTGATAGAACGGGTGCGTCCTCCTCTAATGTAGCAACCATGTCAGAATGAGCGTTCTTAGAGGCTAAACCCTTTTTAAGCGTGTACTTCCACGACGTCAAATTTTGTCCATTTTCAAAATAATTTGCTACTAGTTACGCTTGTAATCTTCTTTTGACAGGCAGATGTAGGTTTACCTGGAAAGAAAGAATGAAGAGTTGAAATGAATGCATGCAAGATTTCACGGCTCTAGCATCACTCCTTCATAGTCAGCTTATGAACTTTTCAGCCTACCCTCGTATCTGGAAAGAAACAATGCATTTATTAATAAGAAGAGTTGAAATGAATGCATGCAAGATTTCACAGCACTAGCATCACTCCTTCATAGTGAGCCTATGAACTTTTCAACCCACCCACGTACCTGGAAAGAAGGAAATGCAGTTATTAATAAGAAGAGTTGAAATTAGTGCAGGCAAGATTTGACAGTTCTAGCATCACTCCTTCCTAGTGAGCCCGTATTCTGTTCACATCACCCTTGTATTTGGCTTTCATATGTTAATCTTTAAACACAAGACCTTAATGATCTTTTTCTTCTACCATTGCTCTGTTGAGAAGACAGTGGGGCTGACACAAAATGATTTTTACCTGTTCTCTTTCTAGCTGAATAACTCTTAGAGTTTTACATTGATTCTTACGACAAATGGTGTCAAAGTGGCTAAACATCTTATCTAAAAACATGGAAAAAAAACAAACTCATTTACGATAGCAGATAATTTTAGATATTAAACATTTTGAATGATGGAAAATTATCTCTGTGTTTGTTTGTGCACACACACACACACACACACATATATATATATATATATATATATATATATATATATATATATATATATATATATATATATATGAGGGATGTATACGTCCTTTTCCTTTTACGTATCTGTTTAGGCGAAATAAGCATGAATTACCGTCCTGGGTATGATGATAACTACATCCGCGTCCAGGGTAAGACGATAAATTACGTCCAACAGCAAGGCCTCTGATCAGATGGCTTTGAGGAGCGTGGAACCACCTCTTAATTGCTGGTGTTCCCAGGTTCACTCGGTGTGGTAGCACCTGTTAGGCTCTCAGCTATGGGCAAATAGTTAACTCCGAAACTGAGGTAAAAAGCATTATAAAAGTGTAAAAATAGGTTTTAATACCAGAAAAACTTTGTAAAAATTATTACCAGAAATAAATTTTCTAATTAAAAAAAAACTATTACTAACAATACATTTTTGAAGAAAAAAAATTACCAGCAATATATTTTTAAAATAATATTACTAGCTATACATTTTTGAGGAAAAAAATATTACCAGAAATAGATTTTTGAGAAAACAAAGTATTACCAGGGGGAAAAAATAGTTATCAGCATTAAATAACCCATTGAGGTTGATATGCCGTTAAACAAAATAAACCAAACCAATCTAAACCAAAGAATACATATTCTATTCATACGAATCCACCCTAAAAATGTTGTCGGCATTAAATAACCCATTGAGGTTGATATGCCGTTAAACAAAATAAACCAAACCAATCTAAACCAAAGAATACATATTCTATTCATACGAATCCACCCTAAAAATGTTGTCGGCATTAAATAACCCATTGAGGTTGATATGCCGTAAAACAAAATAAATCAAACCAATCTAAACCAAAGAATACATATTGTATTCATACGAATCCTAAAAATGTTGTCAGCATTAAATAACCCATTGAGGTTGATATGCCGTAAAACAAAATAAACCAAACCAATCTAAACCAAAGAATACATATTCTATTCATACAAATCTATCCTAATAATGTTATCAGCATTAAATAACCCATTGAGGTTGATATGCCGTAAAACAAACCAAACCAAAGGCAAAACAATAAGCATGAATTATGTAAATGTAAATGAGTAAGAAAATCATAATCGGCTAAACTTTACGCATGCGTATGTATATTTGAGTTGGGCTTTAGGTCGTGATAAGGTAAAGTTGAAGATTTTTGGACGAGGTTCATGTGTTGTTAGTGATAATTTGAGTGAGAGAAACTTTTCCATTCATAGCTTTTCTTACGGGGAATTAAGTTTTCTGATCCATCGATTGCTTGGTTCTTTAAGCGAACGATTGCGAGGGAGGATGTGAGGAAAAGTGTGGATGTAAGTGCTGTAAACGAAGCAAGGTGGGTGGGAAGGAAAGAAGAAAAGAAAGAGAAATGAAAAATGAATGTAAAGGTTGGTTAGAAGAATGAAAGAAAAATGTAAGAAAAACAGACAACAAAAGAAAGAAAAAGAAATAACTGTAAAAACCAAGGAAAAAGAAGAAATGAAAGAGAAAAGAAAGAAAGAAAGAGAGAAAGGAAGAAAGAGAGAAAGAAAGAAAAAACAAGTAAAGTAGAAAAGAAGGAAAGAGAAGGCAGAAAGATAGAAAGAATGTAGGAAAGTAGGAAAGAGAAAAAAAAGGGAAAGGAAAAGAAAGAAAGAAAGAAAGAAAGACAGAAAGAAATATGTACACTAGTAAAGAATGAAAGAAAGAAAGAAAAAGAAATAATTGCAGTAGTAAAGAAAGAAAGAATGAAAGAAAAAAGAAAGAAAGAAAAAGAAATAAGTGTAGTAGTAAAGAAAGAAAAAAAGAAAGAAGTACAGTAAAAAAGAAAGAAAAAAAGAAAGAAAGAATGAAAGAAAGAAAGAAAAAAGAAAGAATTACAGCAGAAAAGAAAGTAAGAATGAAAGAAAAAAAGAAAGAAAGAAAAATAAATATGTGCAGTAGAAAGAAAGAAAGAAAGAAGTACAGTAGAAAAGAAAGAAAGAAAGAAAGAATGAAAGACTGCAGGAAAGAGAAGAAAGAAATGGAAAAGAAAGAAAGAAAGAAAAAGAAATAAGTACACTAGTAAAGAAAGAAAGAAAGAATGAAAGAAAGAAAGGAGGAAAAAGAAATAAGTGCAGTAGTAAAGAAAGAAAGAAAGAAAAAAGAAAGAATTGCAGCAGAAAAGAAAGAAAGAAAAAAATGAAAGAAAGAAAGAAAGAAAGAAAGAAAGAAAGAAAGAAAGAAAAATGAAAAGACTGTCTTGGAAAGTGCAGCAGTAAAGAAAAGAAAGAAAAGGAAAAAGAAAAGAAAGACAGTCGAAAAAAGAAAGGAAGAAGAAAGAAAGGGAAAAGAAAAGAAAGAAAGAAAAGAAAAAAAGAAAGAAAGAAAGAAAGAAAAAAAAAGAAAGAAAACACTAGTAAAAAATGAAAGAAAAGAAAGAAAGAAACTAGTAAAGAATGAAAGAAAGAAAGAATGAAAAGAAAAGAAATGCAAAAGAAAGAAAGAAAAAAAAGAAAAATGCAGAAAAGAAAAAAGAAAGAATGAAAGAAAAAAGAAAAAACAAAGAAAGAAAAAAGAAAAGAAAGAAAGAAAAGAAAAGAAAAAATGAAAAAAGAAAAGAAAAGAAAAAAAAAAAGAATCACAAAGCAGAAAAGAAAGAAGAAAAGAAAAGAAAGAAAAAAAAAAAAAAAAATTGTAGCAGAAAAGAAAGAAAAAAGAAAGAAAGAAACAAAAGAAACAAAGAAAGAAAAAAAAAAAAGAAAAATTAGAAAAGAAAAAAGAAAAGAAAAAAAGAAAGAAAGAAAAAAAAAGAAAAAGAAATAAAGCAAAAAAAAAAAGAAAAGAAACAAATGAAGAGGTAACCAAACTGAAACACACAAACAAACGAAACAAGAAAACAGCCCAGAAAAAGGCATCTCACGGTGAAGAATGAAAGAAAAGAAAGTTGAAAGAAAAAGAAAGAGAAAAGAAACACCTCAAAGAAAGATCTAAAAGAAAAAGGAAGGAAAAATAAAGAAAAATATAATTATTTTAGAGTGTTAATGGAACCAACATTTTAAAAACTGTTTTAATAAACTGTGTGTTAATAGGTGCTCAACTACCGTACCTTGTGCCAGACTAAACTAACCTCAAACAATATAATATATGAATATATCTAGGCGAAAAGATTTTAATTTCAAGCCAAAAAGCCTTAACATAACAATTTCTCTTTGAGAAAGGACGAAGTAAATAAAGAGAGAAAAAGATAATTATTCCCGCCTCAGTTCTAAACTTTAATACCCCCACCCCAGTCAACTTTAACCCCAGTACTAAATTTAACACGATCAAACTCGCCTTAAATACCAGATACATGCACCCTCAATTGATATTGCGAACCCTGTTAACAGTACACAGGCGTCAGTAGTAAAAGGCAAAAATAAAAAAAAAATTGATTTGTTGTCACCCTGACAGGCTACGACATTACAACTAGCACTGATCGTCTTTAAAGACAGGTAAGCAGAACAGTATCTCCAATAGGTACTATGACAATGGCGACACTAAGGAAAACAGTAATTGCAGCAGACGAATGTACCCTTCACTGTTAGAATATATTTCGGGCTATGCGTAGACGTTAGTAATTGTCAGTTTTGCTGGCATAGACTCCAATAAAACAGTAACTACCCCAGGCTGGTAAGAAGGACGGGCGATATTGGCACTTAGCAAAGCAAACGAAGACGCTGGACTTGAGAGATAGCCCCCTAGTTAGCGAACAGGATGATAGACGAAAGAAAACGAAATCATTGGCTAAAAATGTTTAAAACCTGAGAGCGTAATGAAATAGCGACAAATGGCTTCCAAAAGTTAAATAAAATATTAAGAAACGGCACAATTTCGTTAAAAACAAAGAAAACTGATTACGGCCATAGCACGCCGAAAAACCGCTTCTTATACGATCATCGAAGTTAAGCAACCTTAAGCCTGGTCAGTATCTAGATGGGTGACCGCTTAGGAATAGCGCTGTAAGCTTGGATGTGCGGGTGGTGTAACAGATAACTGCACTGAATTGGAAATTAGAGAGCCGAATTTCAATTCCACTCAGGTTTCTTATATTCACTTACGCGCAGTTACTATGAATCAAATTATTCTATTCCTGAGTTAATTAGAAAGACTTATAACAGTAAATCATTATTATCCCCAAAGAAATTCTTACAATCTAAAAGTATTTCCTGGCTTGAAATTCGCTTTTAAAGGTTGATAAACCGTAAAAAAAAACAAAAGAATAAAATCAGTAAAAAAAAACAAAGAAAAGAATGATAAGCACCTATATAACAGTGAATGCTGGGTAATTTCCTCACATTTTAAGAGGAGAAAAGAAATACGGTTCCAGGAAAGAATAGGGAAATACGTAGAAATTTTAGGAAAAACGGAAAGAAAAAAAAAGGACATTTATAGTCACAATAAAGGAGAGGTTTAATTGCTGAGACACACAGGATGCGATGGGAAATTGTCGCCATTTTATATTTTTAATTTCGCGCATGCGCGTTGTTTGTTTTTGATTTTGCCGACTGCAGTGTATAGTAGGGTCAGTTGGGCACCGTCTGTGAGAAAAAGAGCACCATGACGCAATTAACTCCGCCAGAAACTTGGAGAAGGACTGCTGTACTGCTTGGCATTCATACTGGAAGCTCCAATACGAATATTTCAATGTGTTTCGGTGTCAATCTGAGGACATTACAGAATCTAATGATGATTACGAGGATGTTTGGCGTGATCACTAGTGACGGTGATGTTATGCCTCCATTCATCTTCCCACAAGGACTCAGACTCAACACAGAGTGCCTTGAGGAGGCAGTACTGCTCTAGGTCAAGATAGTGGCTGCTGGAGGAACATATGTCTGGCACACTACACCAAGGCACACAAACAGTTATGACTGTCAGAAAATTTCTGCGACCACATCATCCCTTACATCTGTCTATCTAAATCCCGAGACTGCAACCCTGTTGATTATTAGGTGTGGGGCACAGTTGAGCGAGAGACCAACAAAACTCTTTGTAACACCAGAGATGAACTGAAGTCAAGGATTATGGCACCATTCCCCAATTTAAATAGGAAAACCGCCCAGAAGAGTTCCAGGAAATCCAGAATCCGGAGGCCATGTTTGAAGATTTTATTCAATATATCTATTACTATTTACTATTTAAAGATATTTTTGTATAATTTTGGTAAATATATCTGTTAAAATGAAATGTCAGTGTTATTTTCATTTTTGCGTCTTTTTTGACGATAATTTATCCATCGCGCCCTTATAAAGAAGAAAATATGCTTCGAAATTTGACACTCGCAATATATATTAAATTAAAGATGGGCGTATGGAAACATGGCTCAACTTGTCCTTTGAGCTTGTGTAAATAGATGGTCGAAAAGGGACAAGGCGATAAAGTAAGGCGCTGGGGCCAAAATTGGTTAGAGCCCCAAATGATGGGAGCGATGTTCGCCAAAATCCTGACGAAACAAAAATATAGAAGAAACGTCAATTAGAAAAATATTTCTTGTGTCTTTTCGGGAAATTTCAATAATTTTTAAAGCGATAATCAGCAAAGAACATTTAGGTAGCAAAAAGGAAAAAAAATGTGCGATTACAAAGACATTTTGCTGATGAGACAAACTAGCATATCAATTTTTATAGCTGTTTTCCGTGAGTGTGTATTAAAATAAAATATAGCAAACTGTAAGGAAAGCATTATGAACTGAAAATATTATTTATTTCAAAGATCTCACGCTTATTATTCCATTACGCATAGAAAACGTTAAATTCCCCTTCATGCGACAATACCCTAGGAGTGGAATCTCTGACTGATACCAAATCGGTCGGGTTTCGATACCGGCTTGAAGCAATCGGACGTCTAGCCACACGGAAAAGCTATGATACAGCGAAACAGTCTATATGTGGATCTGTGGATGACAATATATATATATATATATATATATATATATATATCCTTGGTCCTTAATTTATGGAAAGCCAGAGAAACAATACAAAAAACATTCGGTCAGTAATTACTTGCGTACGTCTATGATGAATGCATTAACAGTTGCAGTATATATATATATATATATATATATATATATATATATATATATATACAAAAAGTTGATGAATATATATAAAAGTTATGATATATATATATATATATATATATATATATATATATAGTTTATGAAAAATTAGTTAATCCATCGTATGGGTAAACCCAAGGAGGATAAAATCCAGAGAGCTCAATGTAAATCCAGAGCAAATAATTTAAATAAATACGGACCACTTTAAGGTTCCATGTAATAAATTATTTCACCACAAAATTCTACAAAAGTTCAGCATATCTTACCGCTTTCGGTATCATCAAGGATGATTTTATTTTGAATTTAATTAAAAACGTTTTCTTTTATACATTTGTCCAAAGGTATATGAATGTTTTATCTTCCGAATACGGACAGCACATATTTTATACATATATATATATATATATATATATATATATATATATATATATATATATATATATATGACCTTCTACCTCGAGTTATATAAAGGGCGAAATTTTGAAAAACTTATATATATATATATATATATATATATATATATATATATATATATATATATATATATATATATATATATATATAGGGATAGAGAGAAAGAGAGATTAAGTGATCTCAAATATTGTAAATACAATTTTTTTTTTGTATTTTTTGCTCATCCTAAATAGAACTGAATAAACGGAGATAGATAGATAGATAGATAGATAGTGTTATGGTAATTTACCCACGCACGCATGGACTCTCCCAGCTATAAATAGGAGCAGGTACTGCCTTTTAAGCGAGGGAAGTTTCCAGCACTCAGCTCTGACAGTCGTAGCGAACATTCTTGCTGTAACCTGTCTGGTTTGTATTACTGTTTCTGTTAATTTGTTTAACTCAGTTCTTCTTTTTTCTTCTTTATTTCTGGTCCTAACAAGGCCAAAACAGATAGATAGATAGATAGATAGATAGATAGATAGATAGATAGATAGATAGATAGATAGGAATAAACGGAGATAGATTGATAGATGAGGGTTCGTCTGTTCACCACCGTCCAGTTCCAATGGAACTGACAGATAAATATAGTTAGCCAGCTCCTATCATTCCGTTGGACCTTGAGCTCGATATTTCCTTGGATTTCTCAGTTTGTTTACTTTGTGTCAGACGAAGTCAGTATTAGACACAAGCTACATTTCTTTCCTGAACTGCAAAACAAACAAAAAAAAAATCTCAAGTCAAATACAATCGCTTTCCCGAATACGCAATGTCCGCTAATCAGAAACGACACATTTCTTCGTTTTCTCTTTCTCCTTCTCCTCCTTCTCCTCCTCCTCCTCCTCATTCCTCATTCTTCTTCTTATCCTCCTCCTCCCAATTTTCCTTCTCCTCCAATTCTTCTTCTTCTTCTTCTTCTTCTTCTATGTATGTTTTATTTGGTTTTTAAGTGGAAAAAAAAAACGAACAATATCTTTAGCGTAATGCCATTGTAATTGTAAATAAATCCCAAGAGGGAAAGTGATGAAAAAATAACACTTCAAAATTATTCAAATTATTTGAACGTGACGCCGTATGAATGAAATTATTTTATACTAAATTCTGTCCAATGCAAGGACCAAGAACCACTCAAGTTAGAGTTTTGAATTCAAACGGAATGAGTCGTAAGAGAAATTGATAGAAAATGAAAATAATCTGTATAAGAATGATAGATAAAGATTGATCATTGACTTGAAGATGTCAACATTGAAACGTTCAGGGAATCATTCAAAGAGGAATTTGGTCTACAATGTAGTAGTTCTTGGAGAAAAAAGGTGTTTTAATGAAACGGGTGAAATGAGTGTGTTTCGACTCCGTGGACGTGTCCGAATTGTAACGGTCTGAACTGGTGGAACTAAAGAATAGATCTCACCATGTAGGCTGCTACGAAATTGGTAGCATTGTAATCTTCACCATATACACGTCGTCTTGAATCAATTAAAAGTGGAAGAAAGCTCTAGAAAAAGACCTTTCTCACGAGATATCTCGTCCACCGCACCGGTTGTAAAGACGTTCCTTGCAGCAATACGTTTGAGCCGCTTCAGGACGATTTTGAACATGACGAGATATATATGAAGATAGATAGATAGATAGATAGATAGATAGATATGAATATAATGAGATAGATAGATAGATAGATAGATAGATATGAACATAATGAGATAGATAGATAGATAGATAGATAGATAGATAGATAGATAGATAGATAGATAGATAGATATGAAATAATGAATGATAGATAGATAGATAGATAGAGATAGATAGATAGATAGATAGATAGATAGATAGATATTCTGTCAGAGCTGACTGCTGGAAACTATCCTCTCCAAAACGCAGTACTTGTTCCCATTTATAGCTGGGAGAGTCCATGCGTGCGTGGGTAAATTACCATAACACTATCTATCTATCTATCTATCTATCTATCTATCTATCTATCTCAGTTTCTTCATATCTATCTATCTATCTATCCATCTATCTATCTATCTATCTATCTATCTATCTATCTAGATATTTCGTCAGCTGCTAGTTAAGGGAGACGGTGAAATAAAAAGCGATGACAAAGACGAAGACGGATTGATCGCGAAAACCTGTTGACACATGACATACATTTGGTTTAACATGAAGAAAAATCATGTTGACATCGCGTAATAGGCCCGCAGACGTTGAGTGCCAATGATTTTGAAGTAGTTTTTTGAATCCATATTGATTGATAGAACCATCGATTTTTCGATCATGTTTGAAAAACACTGTTTCGAAGATTACTTGAAACTTTGGAATTACGTGAGCAAGCACAGAATGAAATAATAAAACCGCCCATTATTGATAAATTGTAGTCTTCGTTTTCTTCCTACGCATTAGCATCTTTAAAGAATGGCATTGATTCATCAGATACATCACTTGACTCTATATATCGACATGTGATATCCTAGAATAAAAATACACATAGATTTGTAAGTAAAAGCATTCGGGTCGGTCGTTCGGGAATGTAGGTCTCCCTGGTATATAAGATCAAAGCCCCAAAATACAAGGTGTTGATATTTTAGATTCTCTAGCAAACAGGATCTTACGGTGTCTCGCTCGCCTCACTCTCAACCTGTTTCGAATTTTTCTTCACCGAGTCTGGTTTTCATTCAAGGCTAAAGAACCCTATTATTCCTTGCAACGAGATTTTCAGGAAAGAAAATACCAGATATCAAATTAAAAATTTAATGTCAATAAGAAACTTTTGTTCTAAGTAGAATTGATCAGAGCAGACCCAAATGTATTCTATGTTCACCCGAAGAAATATAGCAACTTAGACTTTTCACTTAGTGTCTCACCAGAAGGTTAAGCGTCAACTGCATCGCCACCAGGGGGCAGGCATCAAAGATAATGCCTTTCCTGACATGTAAAAAAAAAGAGCTTGACCCTACGGAGATTAGGACGTGCACACGTGTAACAATCAAATCACAGGAACTTATATAAGCGAGATGGAAAAGCCACTTTGTCCTACATTCCTGTGAGAAAATCAAAGTTGGAAGAAACTACAGGCCGATATTAAATGACAAAGTCCAGAAAGTTTGTTTGTTTGTTCAGCGGTATATCAACACGTTCATGGCTCATTTAAGGACAAAATTGAACTTGATTGAGAGTATGAGTAATTTCTTTTAAAAATGTATTGCTGGTATTTTTGTTAAATGCATTGCTGGTAAATTTTTTTTCAAAATATATAGCTGGTAATTTTTAATTTTTAAAATTTTTAAAAAATATATTGCTTGTAATTTTATTTTTAAAATTTTTACAAAAATATATTGTTTGTAATTTTTTTTTTAAATTATTTAGAAAATATATTGCTTGTAATTTTTTTTTTTAAAATTTTTACAAAAATATATTGCTTATAATTTTATTTTTTAAATTATTTACAAAAAATATATTGCTTGTAATTTTATTTTTTAAATTTTTTACAAAAATATATTGCTTATAATTTTATTTTTTAAATTATTTACAAAAAATATATTGCTTGTAATTTTAATTTTATAAAATTTTTACAAAAATATATTGCTTGTAATTTTATTTTTTAAATTATTTAGAAAAAATATATTGCTTGTAATTTTATTTTTTTTAAATTTTTTTAAAAAATATTGCTTATAATTTTATTTTTTAAATTATTTAGAAAAATATATTGCTTATAATTTTATTTTTTTAAATTTTTACAAAAATATATTGCTTGTAATTTTTATTTTTTAAATTATTTACAAAAATATATTGCTTGTAATTTTATTTTTTAAATTTTTACAAAAATATATTGCTTATAATTTTATTTTTAAATTATTTACAAAAATATATTGCTTGTAATTTTATTTTTAAATTTTTTACAAAAATATATTGCTTGTAATTTTTATTTTTAAATTATTTAGAAAAATATATTGCTTGTAATTTTTATTTTTTAAATTTTTACAAAAATATATTGCTTATAATTTTATTTTTTAAATTATTTACAAAAATATATTGCTTGTAATTTTAATTTTATAAAATTTTTTACAAAAATATTAAAAAGATTAATGATCATATATAT